TTTTTTTTTTTTGTATTTTAAGCAACAGAAAAGAATTTGGGACAACTAAGGCACAAAACTAAAGTGCACGATAAAACGAACATCAGCAGCGGGCCAACATCGATATTAGTATTCCAGCTTGAAATAATGCCCGGGACATGCCCCATGCCCACAACTGCCACCACTGATACAGGTTGCCACGGCACTGAAACAACATCGTGTATTGCTGCAGTCAAAACATACCACTTATTCAATGCGACACAGCACTATGTACGTTTCTAGGTGCACTATTACCCGAAATACCTGAAACATTTCGTTTATTTTCAGACATTTTATGTTAGTTTTCACGTCCTGCACGTTTGTTTTTTCTCTTTTTCCTTCTCTCCCACTTTCTAATTTCTATGTCGCATTCTAGATACCACGTAATTTACATATTCACATGGTGGTTAGGGGGCTGTACAGATGATTCCCACTCCTAACCACACTTTACACTGTCTATATTTACAGCTAAGGGATGAAACAGAGGCAGATCAACCTAAATATTCTTGGTACATGGCTATCCAACAAGTCTAAATGACTGTACTACATTAACAAGCCCTACCACAATTCACTAACAAACTCCACTCTTCCAGCCTTAAAACTTATGAAATTCGGTCGTGCTGTATTTCTTTGCTTTGTACGGTCCGTCATTTGAGAAGGTATGCTTTGGATGGTCCTTCCATTCTACTCTATTTTCGATGCGGACAGATGAGGCGGCACCAGTATCTCATAGATGGATTAAAGCGTTAAATTGATGGAATGGACAAACCGTTTGCTTTAAACCATGCCACTCGTTTGTTGAAGGTTGTCTTTCGGAGCAGCGTGTGCAGTGCATTTGTCATATACAAGTCACGCTCTTCTACAAAAATTTTCGATAACAACGGAAATTCGCCGGCCATTTCCTTGAGTAGCCCTTCGAGCATATCCGACTGCTTGCATCTCTCCACTTCTTCCTGTCTAAAAACACAGGAAAACTGAGCGGGACAAACATGATAACTTTTTTTCCCCAATAAAAATCGAAATTTTTATTTCGTAACTTACGTGACGGTAGCTCTGTGCGAAAGAACGAGGTGGAAGAAAAGGCGTAATTTCTGGAAGATGCCAAGTGAGTTCAAAGCACGCTGTAAAGTGACGTGCATTGGTCGATCTCCCAAAATGAGTTTACACATCTGCACATCCATTGCACCTCTAAAATTTTTGCTGCTCATTAACAAAACATTGATATTTCAGGGTGGATAAATCTAAATGACCGGCTGATACTCACGTACACAACAACACCATTTTTCATTTAGAACTAAAAATTTTATCA